AGCTAGTTAAGGTTGAACTGAAAAAGTAGTGTGGGACTCATGTACATTGTTTTGATTTCTAAAGAGATACAGCTGTACTTGTGGCAATCTTTGAAGAAATATTTATATTGAATGTTTAGCCTTTAAATGTAATGATATGCGTAAGTATTACCAAAGAAGGAAGTACTTAATAGATCTATATGTGATATGAATAGCTGTTGAAATACATTGATAAATTTCCTTGTTGCCCATTTTGGTTTTTAAGAGAGGAGAGGGGTCTCTGAACACTGGCATCCAATAACGATATACACTCACGACGTAACTAATTTGATAAGAGATGACTAAGTCTGTAAGAAAGGTTCAGATATATAACTGAAACTAAACTTAATTATGTCAACAGAAAAAATATCACATTTCATTCTGTATGTTCAAACATTATTTAAAAATTCATGTAAATTAAACATATATGTATATATATACTGGGATTATTAATATAATACCATGTTTGAGAAAACTGATCTTAGGGTTTTTGGTTAATGCATTCCAAATATATATTACAAATTCCTATAGTGTCAAGAATATCATGTATGCAACAGTTTCTTTGGCTCTTGGTCTCAGTTTTAGCTTACCTGAACTTTTCTGATCAACCTTTGTCTGGCATTCATTTATCTGTCTGTCCATCTATCTGTTCACATTTTTGACTTCTTGAGAACCACTGGGTCAGTTTTAACCAAAGTTTTTACTAAGCTTCCCTTGGTAATGGGGATTGTGAATTATTCAAATGAAGGACCAAACCCCTTCCAATGAGATAATCAAGAAAAGGTAAAAATAGGGTTGGGTCATCAACATGATCAAAAAAAAATCTTCTCAAAAACAACAGTTGGTCAGAAAGTGTGAAACTCATTTGAAAGCTTCCTGAGGTAGTAAAAATAAAAATTGTTCAAATCATGGCACCTGGGATAGGTTGGGCTACAATAAGGGATCAAAGTTTTACAATGAAATATATAGGGAAAAAATCTGATTCTGAAGAAGCACTGGAAGCACTGGACCAACCAGAAAAAAAGAAACTTATGTGAAAGCTTCCAGTCATAATGTAAATTGTTCAGATCAATTCACGGCTTGGGGTAGGATGGGTCCAGAATCGGTGGTGGGTGGGGTGGGGGGGGGGATAGGAATATGCAGGTCAGTTCAAATTTGGTCATGGTCTGATGATTTTTGACAGAGTTATCCCTCTTGAACTTAGAAAAAAGAAGAATTTTTCAGTTTCCACTCTATAACTTTTGTAGGGCTGTATGTATAAGGTTGAAATTGCATATGCAGGTATTTTACCAGAAAATACAGGTCAAGTTCAAATTTGGTCGTGGTCTGATGATTTTTGAGAGTTATCCCCTTTGAACTTGGAAAAGATTTAAAAATTCACAATTTCTAGACTAATCATTTTCTCGGCTATAAATGTGCAATTTACATTTTGCAGTCCTTATTTATTATCTTAGTTATAAATGCATATTTTGTGCAAACAAATTTAAAACTAAATATGGTATTTGAAATTTTGGTCCTTCGGGGGGAATTCATGGTGTTACGACACATCTAGTTTTAGTTCAGATTATGGATCCTGGGTTAGAGTTGGCTTGAATCAGGATCATATTTTACATTATGCATTTTTATAGGAAAAGAATTTAATGTTCTTCTCTCCATAAATACAAGGCCATATTAGTCATATTGAAGCATTCCCATGTTGTGTGGATTTAATGACCTTTTTGAATTAAGGTTGGGCCATAATATGGGATCACAATTTTTCATGGGGAAATCAAAATCTTTTAAAAATCTGATTAGGAACAGGAAGGCTAAAGTTACTTAGGTGAGCATTGTGGTCCATTTGCCTCTTTGTTTAGATTATAGGCCTTTGAAATCAGGATCAATTTTTTTTACCTAATACTTTTTACAACGTAAGAATTTTCTTCTCCATAACTGCAAGGTCATGTCATATTGATATTGAAGAATCCTCATTTTGTGTGGATTCAGAAACCCCTTGAAGTTAGGGTGGGCCCATCATATGGGATCACAATTTTGTCATGGGAATATAAAGGAGAAAAAATCTTTTAAAAATCTTCTTAAATGAGAACAGCATCATGGCTAATGTTACTCAGGTGAATGTTTAGACCCAGGGTCCTCTTGATTGTATATCTATTGTATATGTACATGGGAAAATAGATAGCTCTACACAACATATTTTCATTTCTAAATAGTGATTTTCCTTAAAGTTATAATTCGATATCTTGTTTTAATAAATACCCACAAACATTGGGTAAATCCAGTTTCCTCATACAGTATAAAACTTTTAGGCTCCTAGATTATAGATTTACAATATATATTTCAAAAATTATAAATGTGGATCTTACGTATGATAACATTAAAAATGCAACCCCCCCCCCCCCCCCCATATTTCATGATAAGAAATGCAAAACAAATTTACAGGAACAACTACTTGTCAAACAGTTCTACCTGATCATCAGAATGTAAATGAAGTAAAAAACAAATTTACTAATAATGTCATAACTGCTTGGTCACATAGGTGTTTCTTAGCTTTTACAAAATTGTCCTTATCTTGAATTTACAAACAAGATTGTTCGTAAAAGTTGTGTACAAATAGATGTAAATATTTTATTGTTAATTAATTGAAGATGATGCAGGTCTTTGATGACAAGTCATAAACATTTAGTGACTCTTTTATCCCTTTTTTACATCATGAACATGGAGAGTTCAAGTCAAATTTAAATTTTAATTAAATTTAAACTGCATTCACATGGAGGATTAATGCAAATTACTTTATTTTAAATAATTTAAAGTGCATCAGATAAATTTACACTGACTATTTAAACCCTTATAAGCAAAGCTAATTTAAACAAATTATAGATGCAAATTGCATAATTATAGCAAAATTAAGTCCCATGCAACATCTTGTTTCAGGATCTAAATGCATAATTTACCTGCAATAATGATGCCCTCTCCAATTTTTTTATGATGTTTTCAAAAGACCCCCCCCCCCCAAAAAAAAATTGAGAGGGCTACATTATTGTGGCTAGCATTAATTCTGTCAATTGATTTCAAAATTTTTATTTTGGAAATATATTATAGCTAGTTCTCATAGTATTGTAAATTGTATTTTCATTTATTTAGCTGTACAAGATTTATTATAGATGCATGGATTTTGGAAGTACATGTGTAAATATAATGTTATTGTCACTGTAAAGTGGTATTAAGATGGATTTTTTTTTTTAGCTTACCTCAACAAATGTAATACCCTTGGCGTCGGCGTTGGTGTCCCAGGTTAAATTTTTTGCAACAGATTTCTTTTCAAGTACTTCTATGCCCTATATTAATCAGAGATGCATGGAGGATGCTTCTAGTATGTTTCATTGTACCAGTCAAGGTTTCAGATGCTTCAATTTCAGCTGAAGAATGACCAGGTTAATGTTTTTGGAGCAGGTTAAAGTTCTTGGAGCAGGTTAAAGTTTTTGGAGCAGGTCTCATTTCCAAGTAGCTATAAGCCCTATATTGACTAAACTTGCATAGATGATAAATCTAAGAATGCACACTACTTGACTTGCTTCGGATGCTGGATCTGACCTACATTTTCCGGTTGAGTGAACAGGTTAAAGTTTTTGGAGCAGGTCTCATTTCCAAGTAATTTTAAGACATATGTTGACGAAACTTGCATGGATGATACATCTAAAGATGCACACTAGCAGGCTTGCTTCCGATGCTGTATCTGACTTACACTTTTGAGATGAGTGACCAGGTTGAAGTAAACTATAAGGGCTATCAGAACCAAACTTGCATGGATGATGCATCACTGGATGAACACTCTTAAACTTGCTTCAGATGCTGTATATGACTTACATTTTCTGGATGAGTGACATAGTTTAAAGTCTTTAGGTAAGTCCATTCCCAAGTAACTGCAAGCCCTATTGGACTAAAATTGCATAAATGTTACATCTAGGGATGCACACTAATTATCTATGTTTTTGTTTGTTTGTTGTTTAATGTCCCTCTCACTTTACTCATATGGAGATGCCACCACTTGCAGGTGGAGGGCTGCAAATTTAGACCTATGCTTGGTACCCAGGGTTTAAATATGGTCTCATCTGAAGGACTGGTCTCCACATCCATCAGTGGGATTCAAAATTAGGAGGTGTATTTCTATCAGATCACTTAATTTGACTGATATACACAAAGTTTTTTTTTTATTAAGATGGATAAAAAAATCATTGTGTATATATCAGTCAAATTAAGTGATCTGGTAGAATTACCCCTTTTGAAATAATTCAGCCTTTGAAATAAACATTGGGAGTTATATCCCTTTCTTTAACTACTTTCACTGGTAGTGACTAGATAAGTTTCCTTAGGCATTGTTAGGTATGGCAGCTCAGCTTCTTGGTGAAGTTAAACTAATTTAAGATAAAAAGACTTGTATAATTCCCTAGCTGAGGCCATCAAACATGATGAATTATAAAATAATTTAAGAGGTTTTTGTGTATAGATTAATTTTGATATTTCCTTTAAAAGAATTGAGTAGGTTTGGAGTTTCCTTATGGCTATCTCATAAAATATTTAAATATTTCACAATATTCAAAATACAAATGTTGATAAGTATCCTCTTTTAATTAATGGAAAAATGGGATATAAATAAATTGTATTGTTTTTGATTTTCAGAAATATATATTATAAATTAATCCAAAGTTATGAGGGAAATGTTTATGATACGTTCTCACAACAATTGTTGAACAGGAAATGTTGTCCATTTGGAATTAAGAGTGGTTGTCTATAAACAATGTGCAAAGTTTTGATGGGATCTCTGGCCTTAGACAGTCATTATCACTCTGTCCCCACAGGGCATGGTCCAACAGGCAGTGGTTGTGACCTCTGATACTATATTTACAAGTCTATTGTGTATGTTCAAGCTGACTTACTTGATAGAAATTATTGTTTTTCTTTCACATGCTCTAAGTGTAGGAGTGTGAATGAATTAGTTATGAGACACTGATATTGGAAATAGGACTAAGGAATGTTTTTCTGTTTTCAGAAAACATTAATCCGGTATGAGTAATGGACCTGGGTCGAACCTTGGAGGAATGGCTGAGCAACTTGGATCTGGGACAGTACCTGTCAAATTTCCATGCTGCAGGAATCACGGAAATTTCACATCTGTTTGCTTTAGATGATGGCTTTTTGACTGATGTTGGTGTTTCTCTTCTGGGTCATCGTAAGAGGATCCTTGAACACCTTCCATCTGTTTCAGGAAGTTCAACTTGTGAAGAAGATTATGTAAACTGTCCCTCTCCACAGGGCTTAGGTCCTCAGGTAGAGGATATTTATGCCAATATTCCACAAAATGTAACAGAGAGACGACCATCGGTGCCAAAAACTTTAGAGCCAAAGCCAAGTATATCATATTCATTTAACAAGAAAAAACCTGTTCCAAGACCAAGAGCCTCAAAGACAGTGCGATCCAGCCCTGGGGGCTCACAACACAGCCCTAGTGTCACCCCAGATGATAGCCTTCCTCCGAGTTATGACACTGTGTTACAAAATCGACAGGGATCTATCTCCCTTGGAGGTATCACCAATGAGGAATCCTCCACTGATGACATGGAAATAGAAAGAAGTCCATCAGCTGCATGGCAAAATGTGTCTCATGATGTTCATATGAACTTTGCTGATAATTTTGCTGACTTTGATTTAGGGCAGGTAAACCATGTGCAAGAGGTGACTTCTCAGAATGAATTGTTCATGTTAAATCATCTTAGTGGAGTACAGCAACAAAATCAATCTTCTCCTGGAAATTATGCAGAGTTTGTCAAATTTGAAAATGCAGGGAACAGATCTTCAGAAACATATGAACCAATATGGATGTCAAAGACTGACACAGAAAGATCAGGACAGACAGAAAAGACTACTCAAGGTTTGTCACCACCTGCTGTAAGTGTAACTGCTGTTTCCACCCCAGAAGCACCACCTCCTTGCAGAACTTACTTTCCATTTGAAGGTAATGTAAATGAGAGCTTTGGCAGTACTAGCACTTATCCCACTGACAGTCCTGTGAGAAAAGATTTTCAGTTAGAGGAGGATGTTGTGTATTCCAATACAGACACTTTTAAAGAGCCAGATAAAGCAGCACCTACCAGATTGGCAACATCATCTGATGAAATAGGGGGTGAAAATGGTAAAAAAGACTTGAATGATTCCACAGAGAGTGATGGATTGAACTCATCGTTTGATTTACCTCCCCCTGAATTTGCACCTCCACCCCTCCCAGATTCAGGATCTACCAATTCAAACCTCTCTGTATTATCAGAATTTGACCCTTTAAATGTTCCAGTCTTTCCCCCTGTACCACCACGTACCACGACTAATTCCCAGGGTACTTCACATGGATATATTAACATTGATTCTGAAGCGGAAAAACGCACAAAGATTAATACTTCAGAAAACAGAGACATTTATTCTTTGGCAAACTTTTCCAGTCTGCAGGTCACCAGCACACCTAAAACCAAAAGCAATGTCATTCAGTCAAACTCAGACCCTTCTCCCTCTCGTTCACCTCAAGCTAGACATCACTTCATATCACAGACTTCCAATATTTCTCTGTCTTCAGATCCCTTCAGAGGGGAGGATCCATTTGGTGACTTTCATGGGGAGTGTGAGGAATTTAATGAGCAGTTTCCTAAACAGAACAGTAGTGTGCGATCAGAAGACATGTATGATAAATGTCTTTATTCAGAAGCAAGTAGCTCTAGCAGTTTTAGTCCACGACAGACTCTGCCTCAGAGCCATATGAGTACCTCTTCTGATCTGTACTCCATGGCATCACCGATTCCAAGTAAGTACAATTGGAGGTTGGGGTACTATAACCATTATTATATAGCAGAGACATTTTTAGCTCATCTGAGCCAGAGGCACAAGTGAGCTTTTCTGATTGAAATTTGTCTGTTGTAGTTGGTATTGTTGTAAACTTTTCACAATCTCATCTTTTTCTCAAGAACCACTGGACCAATTTCAATGAAATTTTGCACAGAATATCTTTGGGTAAAGGATTCAAGTTGTTCAAATAAAGAGCTAGGCCTTTTGAAATGGGAGGTAATCAAAAAAGGCAAAAGTAGGGTAAGTGTCGTAAAAAATCTTATTCTCAAGAACCACTGGGCCAAAAATTTATGAAACTTATTTAAAAGGTTTCTGATATAGTGTAGATTAAAGTTTGTTCAAATTATAGTCCCAGGGGGTTAGGCTGGAGATGAAAGATCAAAGTTTCACGTAGGAATATATAATAAATTTCTTCAATATTTCTCAAGAACAACAGAACCATGACATGATATTGATATGTAAACATCACCAAGTAGTTCAAATCAAGTCCCCCATGCATAGGGTGGGGCCCCAATAGGGGTCAAAGTTTTTAAAAATGGGAATCTATAAGAAAATATGTTGAAAAAGATCTCAAGAATAGAAGGACCATGATTATTTATATTAATATGAAAACATCCCCAGATTTTTCAGACTCAAGTTTGTTTTTTTTTTTCAAATTATGGCCCTTGAGATAAGGTGGAGCCCCAATAGTTTTACATGAGAATATGTAGTAAAATATGTTTTAAAACTCCATCTCAAGTACAGCAGAACCATGATTAGTGGTATCAATATGCTTGGGTATTAATGAGAAAAGCAGAACAAATGTGTCTCAGATTAGCATTCTGGTCCTTGGGCCTATTTTATGGTATGTGGACAATGCTAAAGAATTCTATTTCAATAGATTTATTTAGTGAAATTCATTATAGGGCTTTCAAATTGGATGGTTAGTAAATTATTTAACTGAAAAATGATACCAGTATAACTGGTAACTTGAATGTCATTAGATGTATATGCAAAGAAATTTCTCTTTGTCTGATGCATAATAATAAAGTATATGTTATAGTGGTGATATTGTCTAGATAATTTTGTGGCATTTTATAAAGTGACAACTAAACTCACCTGCAGTTGCATTTATTAAAATGAACAAAATAAACAGTTAATGCATTGATCATGTTGATCAATAATATTTTGCACTTACTCACCCAGATGTGCATACACTTCATTAATACCATGTACGAGTACCAGTTTTATGCATGTAAATTACAAAAAGTAATTATTTCCTGGTTGAACATGTAAGTATATTTACGCCCTTTTACCAATTAATACTGTACGTGTACAGAAATTGGCGTATTCAAAATTTAGCGCAGTCACATTAATTAGTGCTATACATGTCCGTGCCGTATATTGTATTTATAAATGATTTCTTAGCGGTATTCATGAATTAGCGCATTGTTTTCTGCACCAAACCCACTAAAATATGAAGTTGGCTCTTTTAAATACACATTCAGTAATTGAAAGGTATTATCATGATTATATCGATTATTCTATATTCCCAAACAGTTCACAGTTTGTGTTTCATAAACAATACATACGTGATACTTAAACACAAGTGAAATTGTGGAAGTCTAATGATTTAACATAATAATAAAAACCAATTGCACTTACAGTCAGGAAGGCTACTTTAATGTGACCCAAGGATTTGGTAACGAAAATGCATCCATGAGGTTCTTGTCAGTCTATTCAAAAGGACCTGTCTATCGGATAAATCCAGTGAATATCGGATTAGGTCTGATGATAAAGTTGCAATATTTGGTCAAAATGTCCAAAAGTCTTCTCAATTAATTTTTAGGGTTTTTTAGCTCACCTGAGCTGAAGGCTCAAGTGAGCTTTTCTGATCACATTTTGTCCGTCGTCCGTCCGTCTGTCCGTCTGTCTGTCTGTCTGTCCGTCCGTCTGTAAACTTTTCACATTTTTGACTTCTTCTCAAGAACCACTGGGCCAATTTTGACCAAACTTGGTACAAAGCATCCTTGGGTGAAGGGGAATTTAAATTGTTAAAATAAAGGGCCAAGTTTCCTCACAAGGGGAGATAATCAAGAGAAGACAAAAATAGGGTGGGGTCATTAAAAAATCTTCTTCTCAAGAACCACAGGGCCAGTAAAGCTGAAACTTATATGGAAGCATCCTGGGATAGTGTAGATTCTAAATTATTAAAATCATGACCCCCGGGGGGTAGGGCGGGGCCACAATATGGAATCCAAGTTTTACCTTGAAATACATAAGAACAATCTTTAAAAATCTTCTTCTCAAGAACCACTGGGCCAGAAAAACCAAAACTTACATGGAAGCATCCTGGGGTAGTGTAGATTATAAATTGTTCAAATCTTGACCCCCGGGGGTAGGGCGGGACACAATAGGGAATCCAAGTTTTACATTGAAATATATAAGAAAAATCTTTAAAAATCTTCTTTTCAAGAACCACTGGACCAATTAAGCTGAGACATATTTGGAAGCATCCTGAGGTAGTGTAGATTCTAAATTGTTCAAATTTTGACCCCCGGGGGTAGGGCGGGACCACAATAGGTATATTAAAAGATTGGAAATCTGGTAAAGAACAGCATGGCCAAAGTTACTCAGGTGAGCAATGTGGCCCATGGGCCTCTTGTTTTCTTTTCTTAATTTAATTGTCTATATAATACAGCTGATCGTGACTCTTATAAACTCAAAGTGAACAAAGGAAAAACTTTTTAAAAAATTTCTCCAGTACAGTAAGGCAATGTTTAGTCATATCCTCATGTTGTGTGGATTCATGTTAATTCTGGCAAAATTTTTCATGGAAGTAGAGATGAAAAATTTTTTTTTAAATCTTCTGAAGAAAAAGAGCCAGGGATGACTCTGGTGTGCATTATGGCCCATGGACCTCTGTCTCAAAGTGATACATATATCATTATGAATTCAAATTCTGTAGAAAAGGAGATGTAACTTGTGAGAAAGTGGTCCTGACTGTAGCAGCCATTGACATTTAGTCCTGTAGTTTGAACATCTATCTGTTCTGTATTGCTGTTGTATTTATTTTAATTGTACGTCTTAGTTCTCGGGGATCACATCCTGTTACCTAAGAGTGAATTTTGAGATTCTGAAGTCGTTATTCAGTACTTCCTATTTGTTGGAGTACCATGCTTTTTGATTTTTTCCCTAGAATTTCAAGAGGAAATAGATAGACAATTTCTGAGTGAGAACACTTACATCTTAAAAGTGAGAAAACAAGTTCAATTTAATTTCAGCATGGATTATTACTTCAACATGTATACATGTAAATGTATAGTTTGTGATGTTGTTATGTTGCGTTGCATATTGTCAAACACTTGTGTGTGTTTTTAGTTCATGCATACATGTTGTAAAGGGGTAAAAAACTTAATATATTCAATGATTTACAACATTTTACAGATGACATCTCTAATTAATACGTTTGTGAGATGTTACAGATTTTTACTTAAAAATATTTTTTCAGAATTTTATAGAAGCAAAGATGATATTAGTATCCTTAGAGGGCATAAGTACATCCAGTACATGTCTTAATGCATTTCTGTGTTGTATTTTTCTTCATAGACATTATGAATAATGTGTATTTTATCTCAGATATCCCTGCTGAATAAAGTGAAGCAATACTGTATTCAAAATTTCAGGCTTGAACTACTTTGGATGTAGACCCTATAAGTTTCAGTGACCTAGTTATTTAGTTTTTTAAGGTCTTCCGTTTCCAACGGAAGACCTTCTACTGATTGTGATGATTAAGATTATTCTTTTTTTTTTTTTTTCCTAGACGCCAACTTTGACGCTTCATATCTTCCTCATTTTTAAACAGATTTTGTTCAAATTTTCAGAGCTTTTAGACTTTACAAAACACTCTCAGAATACCGTAATACAATTCGGAAATTACCTTCTGTTCACGAGTTATTCCCCTTTGATTGAATTTTGCATGCCTCCGATTTCCAGACAAAGGCTCAGAAATGGTTATAATTGGAGCACAAAACCCTTTGAAATTGAAAAGAGGAAGCATTGAAGTTGTGCACATCGGTTTTTGTTTTTTGATTTTTGCATTAAAAATGGCGCTAGAGAGGGGTCAAAAGTTAGAACGCGGAAAACAGCAAAAAATTTGACATATTTTCCTTTATATCTTGAAAACTGGAAATATTTTGTTAAGACATGTAGAACAAAAGTTGTGCATAATTGCAAGGGCTTTCATATTATACTATTTAAAAGGGGCTGGCCCCTATGATTAGGGATCTTGGGCCCTTAAAAGTTTTTGCTTTATAACTCAAAAACGGTAAATATTTCGATCTGGATCTTGGGAACAAAATTGTTCTTTTACACCTTTTTGATCTAATGAAAATGTTGTTTTGTTCGAGTATACCATGGGTATTGCGTAATACGTATTAGAAAGCAGGACAGGTAAACAGGTAACGTTATTCATTCGGCAAGGAAATTAGACCTCTTCATGTGTATAACTTAAACAGACTTGCTATCAATAATATACCCTGCGGTATTTAATGTTAATTTTCTTTTTAATAAGGTTTAAAACGTGGTTTATGGTTCACTATTAAATTATTTATTACAACTAGTCTTTCTTTTCTTCTTTTTTAAATTAGATTAATAGTGTTCAAAAGCGGAGAATATTAAATCTATCTTTCTACGTTTATTATTACAACAAACTTTGTAAGTGATTTTAAACTGTATGCATTGAATAATTCACGATCATTAGCTGTATGCATATTACGGTCTCCATGTTCAGCTCGATGTTTAGTTATGTAACCTAACGCGCGAATCCCACGCTGTTGATCGAGGTCACTAGTGTACTAGCCACCTGTGGCCATAAACAAAGATAGTATTTGTGATCGCGTATAATGTCAATTTTGTACAAAGAGCTATTAATTAATGGAAAGTTATGTTTTTAATTATATCGAATCAGTAAGATTACTT